CAGGAGGCCTTGGAGAACATCTGGTAGGAGCCGTCCCGAGGGTCCTCGAAGTTGCACTTGTGGTTCGGATGTGGTTGTGGTGGTTGTGGGGGTGGTGGCGGTGGTGGTAGTAGTGTGTCGTCGCCGCCGCCGCCGCCGCCGCCGCCGCAGTCGCAGCCGCACACGCACGCACACGCACGCACGCACGCACGCACGCACACGCATGCACACGCACGCAAACGCACACGCACAAACACACAGACGCAGACGCACACACGCCCGTGCGCCGTGCGCTCATTAACACAGGCCAGCAGGGCGAACAGGCCGCGGTACTGAAAACGAAGACGCACAAGATGAGGCAAACCCAGCCTTGCATGGAGTTCAGGAGGCCACGGTCGCACCCGACTCCTCCGTGGTGGTGCCGCCAAGCTGCCAAGAGTCTTCATTGTTCGCGTTGCGTTTGAGATGAAGGCAAGTAGTTGCGGCGAGGCTGTCATGTACCGTGCGGCACGCGCCAGCCTCGCAGAGAGCTTGGCAGGACGCTCAAGTCATCCCAATGCACTGAATCTGACGGTTTCACTCGGATTTGCCTCAGGAGCCGCAGGAGGCGAAAGGCTGGCAGCGATCTGAGGGACAGACAGCACTCCACTACACTGGGAACAGGACACAAGCGTTAGCAATGGCGTCACGAAACAAAAGGCAGCAAGCACTGGTTGCTGCATGATCTCTGTTGACAACAGTTCTTGGGCTGGCTTTGAATTATACAAACCGTGAAGCTGTGAAGTGAGCATCAGCAAGGCTTCGCGACACGACAGTTTAGCAGGCAGACGTCACGACTCAATCGACAGAACGATCAAAGGGCGAACAGAAGGGATTGAGAACGAAAGCACTTTAGAGAAATGAGACAACAGCACAATCGAAAACCGCAAACTGCTCCCACATGAACGGAGACAAGGGGAGACATGCATCGAAATCCCGGGCATTGGCCAAACCTACAGTGAGAAACAACAAACTGCTTGGCGTAAAAAAGAAGAGATATCTAGGAGTGAAGAGGGAGGTGGGGAGGGACAAGGCGACGGAGTGACAGAGTTAGACTCCACGGTGCCAGAAATCCCCCACACACACAACTCTTTCAAATCGAAGTCGCTTCTGTAAGTCGAAAGTCCAGGCTGCTGCATGCAGCAGGCAGATTCCGTGTTCCGTAAAACGTGCTTAAGCCAGATGACTTGTTGAAATCCTGACATTAGTGTAGCTTGTAGCTTCTGCCTCAAGCTATCTCACGAGTGGGTGCTGCGGGCTTAATCGGGCTTAATCAAAGACTCTTCAGCCAGTCCTGCCTCGCCAGGTTGCCCGTGAAGGCGAACTCTTCAACGAAAACCAGCAAAACAAGAATCAGGTCCTGCAGCATGTCTTCCCCAGCAGGCTCGGGCAAAAAATCAATCTTTTCATGAACCAAACAGCTGCTGGTCCAGTACGGTGAGTGGGTCTTGGAAAATCCCGAAGCGGTATGTCACGAACCTCAGCAATTCGATATGCACTTCTTGCTCTTTTGGAACATCTCTTCTCATCCATAGCTATGCCGCCTCAAGCCAAGCTCTCCCATGTACAGGATGAGAAAGGCGTTGTTGGCAGCCTTTGCGGGCAAGGAGTGTGTCGTTGCAGTATCAGCAATCCCCTGCTCGAAGCTGAGACACGATGAAGACAATCGGAATAGTCGCTGCGAGGTCAACCTCCAGGCCTTGGGCGGCAAGGGAAACGCAGTCTGGATGTGACCAGAAGCACGGCGAACGCTTGCCGCCAAACAACCGATGCAGACTGCATTCACCACAACCTGAGCTGGGTCTGATGCAGCCGGAGCAGCAGGTCTAATTCTGAGAATGATTCAAGGAGCTACAAGTCCCATGAATAAGACGAACCAAGCCCTCTCCACAACGGGAACCTCAGGGGGAACCACGCAACATCACAACAAGAAGACAAGCAGTGGCACTCGTATGCAACTGCCAAGTTGAATCAACGGGCCTGGGGCTCACTCTCCGGCTCGACTTTGGCCATGATTTGGGTGGCCTGCTCCTTAGCTGCAGTGCTCGGACAACAAGGTGGGGTCCGTGACTCTGATATGCGAGCTCTTGCCAGGGCACTTGCAGGAGGTCCAGAGTGGAAGAGGATGCACCGAAAGGTCTTCGGGCATCCTCACCATCCTTGGGCTCCAAATTCGGGTCCTCTTCCTCCACTTCCTCTCCTTCCCGGTCAGCTTCGGCTTCATCCTCCAGCTCGAACATCTCCATGAGGCTCGTCTCTCCGGTCCCCTGGCGCCGGAGCTCGGCCTCGAAACCATGATGCAAGAGATACAAGCATAGCTAGCAAACCCTGCCAGAACGACATGCGTGCTAGCAAGAAGCTCCCAGCTGCTTTGAGACCCCATTCCTGAGCGGCCCCCCAGATCGCTACGTGGAGACGAAATGCAGGGGTCAAAATGCTGGACCAAGCAGCCCCTGGAAGCTGTCCACGGATGTCCTAAGTGGTCATGTGATCGCCGGAACCTCCTTTAAGGAAGCTGGTTTATCTCCTCCAAGACACGGATCAATCTGAACCCACCCTGGGGGCAGTGTGGCCATCCTCACCCATGTTTCACCAGGTCTTGAACCAACGGCCGCGAAAGCTTCCCCCCAACGGCCCAAATATTCTGCATCACATTCACCATCACAGCCATGAAGTACTCTTATTATTCCTCTTATCCCGCATCGAAACCCTTTTCGCCGAACTGCCATGGACCTCACGTCCATGGACAGCAATCAAACCTGGAAAGGCTGCTATGCGTGACACGCGAAATCCACGCACGAAGCCGGCTACTCGAAAACAGCTACGTGCAGCCTGTGCGTTGCTGCAGGCAGCTGTGCAATTGTAAGAACCCTGTGGCATGATGGCTTTACTCATGCCTTTGTCAAGTGTTATCATGTGCTGTACTAACTTGAAATCCAGTGCGCGTCTGGTGCTTCGACGCCGTTCAACGATATCCCGACGGCAGCAGTGATACGGAGTGTCGCAAGCCGACTGACCAGTTCAAGGGCCGGGGAAAGAGCCTGACACGGCCTGAGTCGCGCCACCTGTCAAGCAGCAAATGGATGTACCGACGGAATCAGCCTCTACAAGCAGTAGCTGCCTCTCATGCTACAACTATGTAAGCCGGCCTGGCAAATCGTGTCGCTCAGCTTGCAGCTCGGCTTGCTGCTCCGGCTGTGCTTCCGATCGCTGGGCTAAGCTGGCAACCACCAACCTTGCGGCCCGTAAAGGCACCAGCGTGGTCGCCACCGTGAGGCCAGCAACCGTTGAAGCTACCGCAGGGAGAACATCTCGTCCAAGCCTAGGGGGCTGAGAAGCCGTCTCCGAAGAGCTCCCCCCTGTGAAATATCCGAAAGCCGTCTGAATTTCTTGGCGGCCAATCTGAAAGTCTTGAAGGACCTGTTGCTTGAAATGCTGGACATCGCTGTCAGCTTCCATGTCGGTGGCCATTGGTACCGGCGTCTCCGACTCCGGTACCGGCATGTTGGCCGCAGCAGCCACACTCCGAGCAGCCAGGCGCGTCCCGTGTAGCGGTATCAGTCGTGCGGAGGCACAGACACCTGCTGTGACCCCTGCGACTTTGCCACACACATTCAAGGCCGGATGCTGCTCACCACTGGATCTGAATGCCTCCTGCATATCCCGCCGATTCATCTGGAAATCGCTGACCACTTGCTCTTTGAAGCAAGACCAGCCGGAGGTGAAGGGACCTTCGGCACCTGTCGGATCTGCCGAAGCCATGGTGGGCTCGAGGGGCTGATGGGCCTGCTCGGGAGCTTCCTCTGGCGGCTCGAGGCTTAGCCGCAGCAGCCCATCTTGGAAGGCCAACGACAAGGCATCACTGAAGTTGCTCTGAGTCAGCAGCACAGCAGTGCCATCACCATCCTGGTAGCGGATGCTGTACCGATGGGTCTCCGACAAGTCGAAGAGGCTGAGAGCTGCGTCGACGAGCCCCGGGAAACTGGGCTCATCCTCGCCTGGCCAATCCCGAAGCCGACGGACCTCTCCCTGGTAGGACACCTTCAGCGTCAGCTTGTTTGCTGCCATGACCCAGGCAAGTGTCAGGGACTGATCCGGGTGGGCTGGAGTTGAAAAGGCTGCATACAAAGAGCGCACACCAGCAATTGCCACACACTTTCTGTGCTTCATCTGCTGCGCCTAAAGAAATTCCAATGTCCAGCATGCTCGTGCCCCAAGCCTGTCAGTTGAAGCAGTTCCACAAGCCACGGAATGGTTCGTCGGACCTTCTCGTCACTTCCCCCGGGCACTGCTTTGGGCATCCACCTTGCTTTCCGAAAGCAGCGAAGACCGACACCGAGGATACGCTTCGCTGCTTGTTGGAAAGTGTCACACTGCGGCCGGTCCTTCAAATCTTCTTGCCTTCTTCGCAGTAAGCACAAGCCTAAACACTCTCCGGGGGTTAATGGTTCACTCCACATTCTCAACGGGAATTTGGAGTTGCTTGTACACAGACACAGGGAGTGTGGCGGCAGGACAGATGAAGGTAAAGAGGAAACAGACAAACGGGCATACAGTAGAGGAGAATGTAGGTGCTGGGGCTAAGCAGCTGACGACAAAAGGATGGGTGACTGGGTGAAACAAGCTTCCAAGGTAGCGGCGGAAACACGTGCCCTGCCTTCGCGAATGACTTCGGAAGAGCTAGGCAGCAGCTAGGCCGGTACAGCTAGGTGCCAGGTGAGATGCACAGGTCCAGCTTGTACCCCCAGTATCAGCAAAGGTCCGAGCTTGCTGAGATACACCGTGCTCGTTGGGAACAGGGGGCCCTCGACAGGATCCCAAATACACAACAGCAAAGAACAATGTATGAGTGTGACTGTATGTACTGAATATATTGTGGCCCCCTGCCTGCACGGCACCCATCACGGCCATCACGCACCACAACCCGGACCTGCTACAGCTTCGTCGGGGTGCAGCTACTGCGATCAGCAGTGGTACACGGAGGCGCACAAGCCAAGGGTATCCACAACCACAGGAAGCATCAGGCCTGGAACCCATACGAAGGATTGCCCGTTGTCTCCAGCTCAGCACAAGCCGAATCGGACTGAGAGCTTGACAACATAAAGCACTCAACATCATAGCTGTCGTCATGACCTGTGTCACGCAGCCGCAGGCCGAAACCCGATGTAAGGCCACAAGGCGCTTACGTTTTTGGCTCCAAGCCAATCAGCTAGCACACCGCCCGGAACCTGCAAAGACAAAACAGCTGTGACCCATGTTGCACGAAGAATCACTGTAGCCTGCGTGAAAAAGTATCCGGCGGCTATGGCCGATAACCTGAAAGAGTGACGCCAAGGCAAGCAGAACTAAAGGACCGGATAACCCCACATAACAATTTTACTCGTGAGCCAACTGAGTCAAAGGAATCATGATGAATCATGGAAGCGATGGGAGGGAGGGAGGGAGGGAGGGAGGGAGGGAGGGCGGGAGGGAGGGAGGGAGGGAGGGAGGGAGGGGGCGGATAGCGTCTAAGTCTAAGAAAACAAAAAACCCACAGCGATGTGGGGAATAAACACCAACAAACGACGCAGTGAGTCACATGTGGCTGGATGACTGAGACGGCGACAAATTTCCCTTCTGCGATGTTGTTATGTCCATCTCTGCCGCCATAAACACAAGCAGAGGAGATAAAGCATTGCCTGGAGCAGCAGCATCCATGACCGCCAAGGTCTGGGCCGACAGAACTATGACTGGGACTCCTGCGCATGGACTGCTGCACAAGGCGGGTCCCTAACCTGAGCATCGCAGTCCAAACAAATTGAGGAACAGCCGCAAACATGGTCGCAAAACCAGGGTCCAAACAGCAGGATCCCTTGCACTGTGCGTGTCAATACCTTCCAAGCATTGTGAAACAGCCCCGTGTCTGCTAACCCTTGCCAAGAGCTGTAATCAAGTTTTCGGCAGGGTCGTTGAATGTCGATGAGCTTCGTGCGACACCCTCGAGGAATCCACCACCAGCAGCTGCAGCAGGTTCCTGAAGTGCCAATCAAGCTGGCCGCATTCCTGCACAGCTGACCGACAAAATGGTCCTTCCCACTGTCCGACACCTTCTTGGTGTCATCGTGCGGCCTGCGATCAGACCGCGGCTGAGCAGGGAAGCTTCGGGCCCGCACTCCTGGGCGGATAGCCTGGTAGATGGTTGTGCGCGTGGCTTTGGCGATGATGCACGCTGCCTGAGGTTGGGCGTGCTTCGCGACTCCGCCATTGCCTGCAACTGTGTGCGGTCTCATCACTGCAGAGCTGCAAACAACATATGAAACATACGCACAGGACATTGCCACAAGTCAACCATTGCCTGCGGACGCACCGAGCTGCTACTGTAGTTGGCAAACCGTTGTGTCTTGACGCTTTGCTTCGTGCCAATGATGACAGAGTGCTGTGCAATAAGCCTTCGCCCATCGCTCGAAGTTATCATGCACGGTCCTGCGTCATGCTGCGCCAAGGCTTCTACCAACATGGTAGGCTTCGCTGCCTTCGTACTTGTCCCATGACGAGGGTGGATTGATGGCTCGCACCAAATGGCTGCGCAACGGTTTCTTCAATGTTTCTTTGATAAATTTTGCCACAACGACTCACTTTGGACGAACCTGCCGTCGACCTCGCTTCGAGTTCAGCACGCCTTTTCCGACCTTGCGAACTGTGCCGGTATTCTTGCGAGCGGGCATGCAGCAATCGCTTGCACTGGCGCCCGCGTTTTGCGCGAGGCAGCCCTTGCGAGTGGCCCCTTCATCATGACCCTTGCTGATGCGCGGCCTTCGCAGATGGTTACCTGCACAACTTAGCATTCGGTGCGACTTCCGCTTTCGGGCTCATCGGCGACACATCGCATAGGGTTGGCAAAGCAGCTCTGAAATGCTCTGAACATCGAAATCATTCAAGTGTAGATCCCTCAACAATCATAAAGCTCCTTGGTGACCGAGACGACTACGACGAGCACGACCACAGGACCAACAGCACCACCACATCCACCACTGACCAGGACCTCCACTGCGACCACGACGACAACGACAACCAGGTCACGAGAAGATCACAGGGAAACCACCCCAAATGCCGAAGGAAAGCCAAAGCCCTTGTGCTTCAGCGCACAACAGAGCCTGAAAAGGTCTGGTGCGTCTCAGGGAGGCCTCGGTCAGACCCGACGCCTGCACGAGCAAAGCTCGGAGTGTTGTTTAGGGAGCCTAATTAAATGCCCAGGATGTGGAAATAGAGCCCACAATCCGATGCAACTCCTTCACTATTCCTAGCGTGTGGGTGGGGGGGTGGGGAAGGGGGATGGAGGAGGGGCTAAACTCCTTCTGGCGCTGCACGTTCAGATTCACTGATAGGACTTGAAACTGTCGTTTCCTGTTTCCAAACACTCTCGTCTTCTCCTTGCCGCCTGACCCCGCGGGATGGCGTTTGGCTGCTAATACAGCGAAATTCCATGAGCGGAGTGAGCCGCGAAGCAATAGAATGTCCGACAGCAAACCACGCAAATATCAAGCTTGCGCACTGGCGTAAATGCTGACACGCACCGCACAAATGTGTCACCCAGTGCATAAGAATAGCAAGTGCCCTCAAGGCCAACACGCATTGAAAACTATCAGATGCTACTGAAGACATGAGGCTGATCATGCGCATTACTAAGCTGAGATCTTTGGCTGCGCGTCGAAGGGGAAGAGAGAGAGAGAGAGAGAGAGAGAAGTCGACCCCCGGCAAGGGGACGGGCACCCACGTTGTCTCCAGTCTCCACCCGCGAGAGTTAAGACGCAAGTGGGGCACGGCGCTCCGCAAACGTCATGGCACCGTGCAGGGCAGGCATAGCAGCGGCACATGCAAGTGCCCAGGGGGGGGGGGTCGGGACAGGTCACGATACCAAACAGACAGAATTGATGCGCAACTGGCATCTCGCATTCCATGTTTCTTCATGACAACTTTGTCGCACGCTCTTGTGGGACCACGCTGCAAGGCATGGCTCTGGTGACACACATCTCGACGAAGCATCCGCATGCTGGGCACAAGGGACGGTTCAAGGTGCAGTAATCTACAAGGATTCCACAAAAGAGACTTGACCAACACACGTAACATCCAAGCACGAATGGTTCGCGGT